TCCTCTGACCCCTCCGCTGCATCTCTTTGATTGGGAAGGGACCATCGCCATTAGCCAGCCTATTGCTATTGCAAGGAGCCTGCCCAATTGATTCCTCGCCCACCACAGGCCCTTCACACGTTGCGCGCCTTCGACCACATTCTAATCCCCAAGCCTTGGACTTGTCAACATGGCTGCTGCTGTCGCCAGATATCCTTCTATGCCCGGTCGTTCTTCGACACCTCCACCGCACCTGTCGCTCAACACCTCTTCTCGGGGTACGCCTACTGCCATTCCCAACAAGCACATCCCGGAGTGCTCTCCTGGTGGACTCCCTGCAACTCCCCCAGCATCGCCCCCGCGCCAGGACAGTCTTATTGAAACCTCGTCAATCACATACCCACCAGATGCATACTGTTCACTCTACTCCGATGACCCGCCCGTGTACACCATCACAGCGGATCGCATGGCGGAGGCCCTAGAGCACATTGCAACGCAGCCGCTTCCGAACCCCGACCAAGTCTTTCCGTGGATGCATGGTCTTCACTCCGAGAATCAGATACAACTTGCTTTCTTCTCTTCTCGTCGCAGAAGCGGTCGGAAAGTTCCCAGATGCATTCGCAGTATTACTGTCGTCAAAACCGGCGGGAATCTGTCAGCTTCCAAGCTCAAGGGCGCAATTGCACCAGATGAGCTACTGGAATCGGTGTCTTCTGATACTCCCAGGTTCATTGAATGTGACCCCAAGGATGGCTTTTCTGTGCGCAACTTCCAGATCCAGGCCTGTAAACTGGCTATGGTGTCTGACATCATAGTATATGGCGACCACAAAACCAAGCCGCAAGACACAATTGCGCTAGCTCAGAAGATTTCCAGAGCGCAGAGGCAGTATGAAGCAAGGAACGGGTTTCCGCATTGCTTGTTCAACACGTTCATGCTCTCAGGTACGACCAGTGACTACTCTCGAGTGTGCAAAACTAACAACTTTAGATCCCTTTGCGTCCATGCAGGAGAAGTACCCGAAGCTAGTTGCTATTAATTCTACTGGCGACATGACAGGAGAGATCGCCGATTTCTGTAAGTTAGTATGCAACAGAAGATGACCCATTGCTGACATGAACATGCAGTCTATTGGGAACGATATGAGATGAGTGCGATGTCGAAAGCAACTGAGATCAGCAACAACGTTTTCTTGGGACCAACGCCTGATCAAGCACTGCATCCGGACTGCATGGGAGAAGAAGGCTACGATATGCTGATTGAAGCGACTGATCTTGCGCATGTACCCGAATCGCGCTCGCTCCGAGCCCTCCGCATGGGTCTGGAACGAGTTCACCGCAAGTCTACCCTGCACATGGAATTTCCCTCATCCGGAAGCATCATGCCTCCTACATGGGCGCATGGCGAAGTTGACGGCCTGATGGAAATGTGCAAGTGGATGTACGAGCTGGCGAACCCACAAGAGGTCCGGCGGTCGAAGCGACGACGGGAAGAAGAAGACGAAGCTATAGAGATGGACGACATTGCTGCGCCACGCAAGTTTTTGATACACTGCACCGATGGTTATACCGAGACGACACTTCTGGCTTTGGCTTACTTCATGTATGCGGAAGGCCTACCTGTTCACGATGCTTGGATTCAAATGCATCGCGACAAGGGCCGCAACTTCTTCGCATACCCTTCGGATGTTGCCCTTCTAACAGCGATCCAACCTCGGATCCTTCAAGACTCCCCTCGCTTCAACCAGAGTGTTCTTAATCTTTCCGAACCACGCTGGCTTTCGAAGCTCGACGGCAGTCTGCCCAGTCGGATCTTGCCTTACATGTACCTCGGCAACCTTGGACACGCTAACAACCCGGAGCTCCTCCGCGCTATGGGCATTAACCGCATCCTGAGTGTTGGAGAACCGCTTTCTTGGCCGGAAGACGTCAAGAAGAAGCTCGACTGGCCTGCCGAGAACTTCCTGATGGTCGACCGAGTTCAGGACAATGGCGTAGACCCGCTCTGGGGCGAGTTTGAGCGCTGCCTGAAATTCATTGGTGAGTGGCATGACTCCACGCTGAGACTCGCATAGCTGACCTTTTGTAGAAGCAGGCAAGAAAGAAGGAGGCGCTACTTTAGTGCATTGTCGTGTTGGCGTGTCGCGTTCTGCAACGATTTGTATTGCTGAAGTTATGAACGAGATGGGCCTATCCTTCCCTCGTGCCTAGTAAGTAACGAGCTGTCTTCCATTTGACTTAGACTAACCTAATTCCAGCTGCTTTGTTCGGGCACGACGACTTAATGTTATAATTCAACCACACCTTCGATTCACTTACGAACTTCTTAAGTGGGAAGAGTACCAGCGTCAACGACGTAATGAGCCTCTTCGCCGCGACCTGGAGTGGGCAACAGTTGCGCGCGAAATCGCGCTGATGAACAAGCCCTACTCCAGATAACGACTTCTATGACCTCTCCGACCTCTCTGCTCGATATGACTCACGACGATACGACTCGTACATGTACGATTACAGGCCCTCCCACCTCTGAGCTGCCTATTCTGTTCAGGATGATCCATCATCCCTTGTGTGCGATATGGGCGTTTGCAATTCCTTCGTCTTGCTCTGTCATGATCTTTCCTTCTACTTCCGATGTTTGCGTTGATTCTGTCCTGCGACCCTGCTGTTTTGCACTACGGATCTGAGCCTGGTTTCGCGTTGTCTGGTCTACTTTTGCGAAACCGTAGTCGCAAGATTTTGCTGTACTGGATGTCTGTCATTCTGGGTCTACGGTCTGGATGTCAATGGGTTATGGGATCAAAGGGCTGTGGGCATCTTTCATCACTGACTTTCTCCATCCATGTATTACTGTCTCGATCCACTGCAGCGCACCTAGCGCTGCTGCATCGATTGTCGATTTGTGGGCTGATGTTCGGACGAATCATGGAGTACTGGGTCTCAAGTCACTTTATGGCGTATACACTTCTAGTCGTAACAACACGGTCTCTTCTTTCTCTGTGTCTCGACATGCGTTGCAGTGCTGTTCCCGTCTTCTTCTCACTTTGACCAGAGCTTTCCCCTCTTCCTACTACTGCATGGCACACGTTTCACAGGCAAGGACGACGAAGCTCCTGTTCGCTCTCCCAGGGTCTTCACGATAGACACGACTGTGCAATTCATCAGATGTGCATCACGAGGATAGGAGATCATGTGTGAAGCGGTTATTGATGTCGATCAAAGTCATATTGTCTACTCCTTGCCCCCAAGATACCTGTAGACTACTGAAAAGTCTTTGCCCTTGCAGTTTTCGGCTTTCTCGCAAGCATCATAGAGCGCTCTTGCTGGTTCTCCCAGCGCAAGCTTGACACCAGCTTCATCAGCAGCCTTCAGTGCAAGCTTAAGATCTTTGCTGGCGAGGCCTATGCCAAATCCTCCCTCGTAGCCTCTGCTTGCGGGAGCGCCCTCAATGACACCGGGAACAGGGTTGTTGACCTCACTAGGCCAGCACTTGCCGGTCGCTGTGTTGATCATACCGGCTAGTGCTTTGGGGTCAAGACCCCACTTCACACCCATACTCATCGCTTCTGCAGTCGCGATGTTGTTCAGTGCGAGCAGATAGTTGTTTGCAAGCTTGCCCTTGAGACCAGCACCTGGTCCGCCAAGGTGAACCACTCTCCGACCCATCAATGACAAGACTTTGGTGGCACCTTCGACTGCCTCAGGCGGCGCCCCGATCATGAAGGTGAGCGTACCAGCCTGTGCACCAACGACACCACCAGACATCGGCGCATCAATGAATTTTCCTTGACCAGTGGAGTGAGCAGCTTCCGCCACCTCACCAGAGGTCATGGGATCGATGGTTGAGCAATCGATGAAGAAGCGTTCTTTGTTGATGGAGCTGTCTGAAAGAAGAGTAGCTGGTTCCAGCATCTCCTTGAAGACTGCCTTGACATGCTTGGGTTCTGGCAAGGATGTAACGATAGTTTCCTGCAACACTGTCAGTGGACTGCACTCGAAGTTTTTGACGAGAAGATGTGTTGTGTATAAAGCATCAGAGGATTGGCTATAATTTTTGTGTAATCAGGAGAAGGGCCACGAATGGCCCCCAACTTAGATCATTGATAGAACAATTAATTCATCACGAGAGTGCTGGAAGTAGTGGTAGAGGTATACGTACGGCTTTTAAAGCGACTTCTCGTACATTCTCAGCCACTCGCACGCCTTGTGGATGCTCCTCGAGGAATTGCTTTGTAGCTGCGGTATTGACATCGTGCACGAAGAGTGTGTCTTCAGCCGGTATCTTCGCTCTGAGGTTCTTCGCCATGGGATAACCTGTATTGGATGTCAGTAAATGATAGTCATGTGAGCTGCCATAGTACTAACCCATGCGTCCCAGTCCTATGAACCCCCATGTAGCCTGCAGGTTGTGGGAGCTTGAGAAGCATCTCCGCGCGCTCTGGCGGGCCGTTGTAGGTGTTGATCTCCGCAGAGGCGAAGCTAGCGCCGAGACTGTCCTCATCTTGTGATATGGTATGAGGAAGGGTATCTGGGTAGTTGAGTTTGGCAACGTGTTGCGGAGAGCGGTTGGAATCGGTCTCCGCACTCATGGATCGCGTTCAGCCGAGGTCACAGTCCAATGCAGCAGCACCCGTACGTGGGGCTAGCAGCATGCGTGTATGCATCGTGAATAATGCGACCCTGGCCCCAAGGCTGCTGGAGCTGGTCTTCCGTGAGGTGCCCGTGAAGCTTGGGACTAAAGATGAAGGGGTGGGTGGGAGCTCAGAGAAAATTACAGGCTGGCGGAAAAGTAATTCCGGCCGAAGCGCGCTATGTCCAATTCGTCGGGGCCCGGGCGTTCGCCTTGAGCGGTGCTCACTACAGCACGACAGCAGACCCTATATGTGTTTGAAGACTCGAACATTCCGATGCTCTGCCTGATGGCTATGAATTCTAGTCGTAATAAGGTGTACATATGAAGCCCAGATCCTCTTCCTATCGAGACATACCTACCTAGGTAGGTATACAAGGCCTTCAAGCTTTCACTCATGCCCTCTCGATTTCGGGATTGGGTCCTCCCAATAACTCCGTATCCGGCAGGTATTCTGGATCTACAATACGAATAGCACTCTTCTCATCTATCAAACCGTCTGACCATCGAAATGATATCTGCTCGTAATCGCTGATACGACAAGTCGCAAGTCCGCCGGTCTCGTTTCTTGCGCTGTCCCTGTCCCTGTCGCTATCGCTGTGGTTTTGTTTCTTACGCCTATCCATGATCGCTGTCCAATCTTCCCATTGGTTGTATATGGGTGGGATGCCTGGATCAGCTGGATCGACATGCTCACACTTTGCAGACGACCCCTCTTCGATTACCAACTCTGCTTCGTGGTCCAGCAGCTTACGAAGCTGCTCTGTAGCCTGTGGAAGGACCGCCACACGTACCACTTCCTTGTTCCGCCCAAGCTGATAATGATACACGCTGTCGAGTTTGCCTACGCCTCTGATCTCCATGCGTTTCATGTGCGGCCATGGAGCGCCTAACAAGACAGGCAGCACCTGTTCCGCAAAAAGCCAGTCCATCGGACGGGTTCCATGTGTCTGCCTTCTCTCACGGCCCCTACGAGGGCCGGCCGACTCCTTGATACCTTCACATTGTTCGAAGAAGAGATTACATAGAGTATTGCGTGTCGATGCTAGGAAACGTGCCCATGAGTGATACAGTGATGTATCCTGGGTAGTGTAATAGTAACCCGTATCAGGCCCTGATATGGTGATATGAAGAGATTTAAGAACAGACTGGCGGGCTGCGAGCGTGTCAAGGGTGTCTGCCAGCACTCGCTCGTTTGGTCGCATCTGCAGTCTGGCACGATTTACGTCGAGATACCTGCGTAGCTCTTGGAGTTGGTTCGAAGCTGGCGGTTCCAGCTCAGACTCCGCTGTATCTGTGGTAAGGCTTGCGAGACCCGATCCAGATGGCTTTGGGTTGGAGTTGGAAGCTGGTTCGAGCTCGGCCCATAGCTTTAGGTCGTTCAGATCTATGCTTTCGAGACGCGGCCCTCCGAGAACACAGGTGACAAATTCGCGCGTCATACGTCCGCCTAGTCGAATAGATCGAGCATCATGGAAGAGCTTCTTCGGCAGAGTAGCTTCCCGCCACGGTCTTTGGTTTCCGTGATTAGCCCAGTAATGTATATGTACTCGCAAGTCTTACCTGAGCCAACAGAGATCGACGTCCACCACATGCACGAAGCTATGGAACGTTCGCCAAAGAGTGTCTGGTAGTGTTAAGATCTGTTCTGATTCGCCATAACCATAGCCTACCATCTTCTGGTGGAAACTCCTCACGCTCTTTGCTGAGAGTCCTCTCGTATTTCTCATAGTGGGTCCTTCTGTTGTCATTGTCGTAAAACATTCTCCACAGCAGATGTAGCTTCTCGTCTGCGGTGAGTGGAGACCCTGGTTCGTATACTCTCACCATGGCTTGAGTATCTCGATCTCGCCCCTGTTTAGACCAGCTTGTCTCAGCGTAAATGGCGCGCCAGTAACGAGGTCGCGCGTCGAACAGCTCTCGATGATGGGTGATGTTCTGATAGCTGTCGAGAACTGTCCAGTGTAGTTCGCGCACATACTTTGCGTAGGTAGGTTTCTCGGCAATGGTCCTTATCAACAGCTCCTGCTTTCTAGCAGTGCTTTGGTCGATACTATGCCATTCCCGAGCGGAGAACCTAGGAGGTACGACGGCCTTTCGGCCTGTGGCAGCTCGCACGACTCGACCTTCGCGGTAAATATCGAAGGAGCATTCGATAGTGGCATTATGGGTGCTTAAATCAAGGTTGCGAAAAAGCTCAGGTAGCTGGGAACCCGGTTAGAAGAGCATGTGGAGTTGTTAGCGGAAGTAAGCTGTACCAGTTTGTTGTGGAGAAGGCGGCAGGTCTCGCTGAGGTGCTTGATGTCTGTGTGTGAACACGAATGCACGATGTCTATGAGCAGTTCAGCTGGCAGTTCCGCGAGATTCGCCATGACAGGGAAACCAAATTGTTCACGGTGCAGTGAACTTAAGTCTTCGAGTGAATGACAGACAGTCTGAGGCAGCACAAAATGCGGGGTGCGGCGTAAGCTTCGGTATCCTGAAACCTGCAGCTGTGCGGCGAAGCTGAACAGTAACGTCACGTGCAAACTCACTATTGACAACCTTGGAACCCAAGATTTGATTCTATCCCTCTCTTCATCATCTAGCGATCTCGACTTCCCTTTCTTGCAGCTCGTTTTCTCAATTCAGCTAAGAGCGCGCCTTCTACAATCCCGGATCAATTAGGCTCCGGCCAGGATGTTCGCAGTTCCTGTCGTACATAAGGAGGAAGACTGATGGAAGTAAGACCAAATGGCAACGTGAACCCCTTCTGCGCCTGTGTAAGTCCTCGAGAGTGGAGAATATGCAGTAACAGCCATCGGAACAGACCATTTCACGTCCACATCGAGCAACCCGGCAAAGACAAACTGAGCTTTCGCTCGAGCGTGGAGGATGAAGTCGCAGCTATGGGAACAAAGTGCGATGAGTAAAAGGTAGCAAACAAGAGAGTCTCTCCGAATCTGTGCACAGTCGCTATCGTCATGGAGACAATACTAATCATGCCTCATAGAGAGGAATCTCCGGGTGTCGGCAAGTGGAGGCTATATCCATCTCACGGTATAGACACCCATTTGAATCACCATCGCATTACTCACAAAAAAGCAGTAGTCATGCGCTGAGCCAAGCCGGACATGTAGTGTTTGGTGTACGGAGGACCGCGGACTCACAGGAGACCGCGGGTCGCGGTGGACCCAAACGTTCGCTTCCCGCTTCCAGCTTCCAGGCCGTCTACCGAGGCAGGAACCAAGCACCGACCTCCTGCGACATGCTTGCCATACCCCTGGGTACCCACAGCTTCGATCGCATCGTGAATGCGCTTTTGTTTTTTACATGATATTTTGATGCGTTAGGAAGACTATCGGTGTTGCGAAGCTTTGCGAGCCATTTCTTCAACAAGATGTGCCACCGACAGTCCTTCCCACGTCTCGGTCAAGCCGCAAACCACCAACTCTATCAAAACCATCAGCGCGCGCATCACCGCTTCAGGATATGAGTTCACCCATCGCCCAAACATACCCTGCCGTTTACCCGCCTCTGCCTTCCCAAGCCTAAGCGCCACGCCTGGTAAGGCACTTGAGGTTTCCAAACGACCATGATGCAACTCGGCACTCCTCTCCCCACTTATCTTCAAACGGCATCCAACCGCCTCACCCATGCGCTTTTCCCATGCCTTCCCTTGGCAAACAAGGCTGTCAAACATCGTTTAGGCTACGTGCAACAATGCGACAGCTTGGCCGCCCTGGTCTTACAGCTCGGGTATCCACATGGCTGTGCGCCATAGGTTGGCCTGTGGCTGCCCTAAGATTCCTCAGGCCATTTTCAACGTTTGAGATGTTATGGGCAGGAGGTGAGCTACGTAGGCAAGATTCATGGTGTGGATAGAGGAGGCAAAGGGTTGATTCGGGCGTGTGGAGGATGTGATAGTGGAGGATACAAGCGTATATGAGCTAAAGTACTTGTAGGTGGGTTTTTGCTCAGTTGGTGTCTTTCTATCCTTCATTCTCTTCGCATCGCTCTTTTGACTACGCAAACCGTAGAACGGTCTTTACATAATCTCTACTTTCGATTCTTCAGTCCACCGTTGAACGGTAGTCTAGTTCCTATTTCTATACCCTCGATACCTTTTTGTAACTCAAGCTATTCGCTATTACACAATGAAGTCAACCATCTTCTCTGTTGCTTTGATCGCTACGGCGAGTGCGCTTCCAGGCCCGGCCTTCAGGACTGTCAACAGACTGCCTAGCATCAAATGTATGTCATACACACATGTTTTCATCTATTCTCTGCTAACCAAACACGAGCCAACCCACTTCGCCGCGCCAGCCAAATCATCCCCGTAATCGTGGGCGGTCCCCAGGATACTTTCATCCCCAACACTATCACCGCAGCAGTCGGCGACATTGTCCAATTCCAGTTCTCCAACGGCAACCACACCGTCACGCAATCGACCGCCGACACAGCATGCACTCCTATGGAAGGCGGTATTCACAGCGGTCACATCCCCTTCGAGGACGGCCAGACAGATGTCGGAACGTTCAACATGCCCATCACGAGCGCGGACCCCATGTTCCTGTACTGTGCTACTGGACCACATTGCCAGGAGGGTCAGGTTATGATGGTCAACCCTGCCAGTACGCAACAGTTGGCCGACTATGTCAAGTTGAGCCAGCAGAGCGAATCGAGCACTGATGGAACCGACGTCGTCGGCGGAACTGCGGGCAAACTTGCTCTGGATGCTGCTGCGTAAGTCTTGATGCCTCCCAGCCTTTTGGTCATGCTTCCGATCATACAAATACTGACTCTCTTACAGCTTCGTACCTGCACCTCCAGAGGATCCCGCTGCTGCCCCTCCCGCCCCTCCCGCTGAGGCTCCGGCTGAGGAGGCGCCAGCTGAGGCACCACCCGCTGAAGAGGCACCTGCTGAGGCACCACCCGCTGAAGAAGCGCCCGCAACAACATCTGCCGCAGAAGCCCCAGCAGAGACGACAGCCGCTGCCGAAGCACCCGCCGAGGCACCTCCTGCTGAGATGCCTATGACTACCGCAGAAGCAGCTCCCGCCGAGACTCCCGCTGCTGCTGCTGCAATGGCTCATGCTTGAAGTGAACGAGGGGCTATGGGAGGAGGAAGTTTTCAATGTAGATCTTGCGAGAAATTGATGAAGTGTATACATCCAAGCCAAGTAGCAGGGCTTTTCGATCATGATGCCGTTTATCCTCTTTGTTGGTGCAATGAGTTGATGTGTATGGAGTCTTGTGCCGTACTGTTAAAGATTTCAATCTACCTAACTGCGAGGTACCCATGTTGACCATCTCGACGAGTAAGCGATGCGAGCCTCTGACACCAATGAGACCACGAAGCAGCGAAGGGGAAATCATGCTCTGTATGATGTCATGTAATTCTCTTCATTACCTCTCACACCATCTATGCTGCAATGTGATAACAATGCTAAAATCACATACCAATAACCCCTCTCATCTGGTGCCATAGTGATACAGAAGATGCTAGCCTTCCTTCTCAGCCACCTTATCCTTCTCCTCCTCGCCGTCCTCACTATCATCCGCAGTTTCGCCAATACTGCTACCTCCCTTCTTCCTCTCAGCGACGTCCATTTCTCTGCCATCGATCACCGGCTCAGCCTTCGCCGCTCGCTCATCCTTACTCGGTCGCGGTCTCGCAGGCTTTCCAGCTTCTTCCGGGAACAGCTCAGAGAAGAGGTTGGGTTGGAAGCGGTTGATGCGCTTCCAAGTCTCGTGCCAAAGTTCCTCTCGCTTGGGGTTTTCGTCGGGCGGTGCAAGGTATCCACCATTGCTGAGCACCAAAAGCATGTTTTTGAGGTTCTCGGCAACGGCTTCGTCCATGTCGCCTTGTCCGCTATTGCCCAAGCGATCCATGAGGCCAACTATTGTAATCCACAAGTCTTCGAAAGACAGGCTCTTTTCCCCTTCTTCATTCTCTTCGCCTGAGAGGCCGTCAAGTAGCACTAGGTAGTGCAGGAAGACCTTGCTCAGAAGTGTGGCGGCCCTGATCCTAGTCTCGCTCATGCCCAATGGATCAGATTGGTAGACTTCTGGTTTGAGCAGCTGGGTGATGAGGGGTATAAGGACTTCGCTGAAGATCGCGGTCCATTCTCGGTGCTCGGGGGAGGCGAGGTCGTTGGAAAGAAGGGTTCGTTGGAGTGAGGAGAAGGCTTGCTGGCGTAGGGAGCGGCAAGGGTTGAGACATTGATGCGCGAGAGTCTTGAGAATAGGAGACCAGTATGCGGTCCATGCTGAAGCTGTGTTAGCGTCTCGATGCTTGACGAAGAGAGAAATGTTCATACCTTCAGTAGTCTCAAGATGAGACTGCTCGATAAAGTTTGGCACCCTGCTGGAAAGTTGGAAGACAATGCTCATAGCAGTGCTGCCGCGTACGACAACTTCGTTACTCTCAAGCTTCTTAGGCTTCTGGCCCTTGTTGCGTCGTGCAGCCTGATCATGCAACTGCTCTTCTCGAGCTCCAACTTGAGCTGCAGTTGCGAACTCATTGAGAAGCGCAATCGCAGCCTCGTAGTTATCAGCAGTAATGCCAGGTTGAGGCGAAGTGGTAAGGTCTTCGACGAGCTGGAATACATCCCCAGCAGCATTGGGCACTCCTGAAAGTCTGCTGAGAATGGTCCAGAAGTCTGGTGATCCTGCAAGCTCACTGCGAAGAGCGTTCGGACCCTTGCAGCAGTCTGTCAGACCCTTCAGAATCGGTTGTGCGCACTCGTGTAGCAGAGCATCATTGAAGCTGGAGAACGTGTGCATAAGGACTGGCGCACGGATGAAGTCATAGTCCTGGATCGATTAGTACTGTATTTTCTTGAGAGTGCATCGAGACTTACATTGCTGGCTTTGAGCAGACTCAGAAGATAGTATACCGATCGTGCAATGACCACGTAGTGATGCTTAGGCGCGTCGCGGATGACAGACGCCAAAGCATCCGTTACATCCTTTGCAAGCTCCTTAACAGTCTCTTCATCCCTAAGCGCTAGGACAGTCGCCAGCTCAAGGACGAAGACAAGACTTGGGTCGTAAAGTGGGCCTTTACCCTTCTGTCTAGGACCGGTCGTTCGCGGACTTGCGCCGGGTATCTCCGGCTTCACAACGATGACTCTAGGTGAGCCATCTTCCGGTAGATGCTCAAGTAGAGATGATAGAAGCGATCGCAGAGACTCCACTGGTAGCTGGCTGATGTTCGCAAGGATATCTTCAAAGTGACATTCCTTGACAGTATCCACAGTACAAAGTGTGTACTCAATCTCTTGGTCTGATGGCTCCGGAGGCTCGTCATTGGCAAAGCTCGACACATATGATGTCAGGGCCGAGAAGATGCCAGTGTCTGCTGGACGCTCTGCACGGTCGATGACTT